TGATCTCCGCACAGGGCGCCCAGTCATGCCTGGTTGCAAGTCTGATGTGTCGAAGGTCAACATTATTTGAGCATAACATTCTGCAATCGCCAAATTTGAGCCACATCCAACAAAAGCGGCGAACACGCATGGCACGACGACTGGAAAGGGGGGCTTTCTTGACGACAAGGCGTATCCGATTGCTACAAGCGGGAGAAAAACCGTGAAGGATATCCGCCGAACGGCATGCGACCGCCAGATCATGGCCCTCTGGAAGGTCATGCTGTCTGTACTGGGACGGTGGTACCGAGCACGACTCAGCCAAGATGCTTTCTGGAAAGGTATTGCCAAACCTGATCCAAATGCTAGAGAGAGAACGCATAATCCAACTTTTTCTGGACGATAGCGATATTCAGTGGAAGCTAAGGCTCCGAGCAACTGTTGACATTAGTCAAGCCCCTCAAGCCCGGCAAACCACGGTCAAGGACTCACCATTAAAACCAGAGTGAATTGTGCGTACACCCAAGCAGCATAAATGGACAGTACCAGCAAGCCTGGCTGCTTGGCCATCCGCCAACTCAGCCGCAGAGCGGCCATGACTTCTTCACCCCACCAGTACGGCCCGTTCCCGGTGAGATGAAGTTTGATCTCGCCACGAGCGATCCTGCTGAAGCTTCTGCCCTCGCCAATGACTTCTGCGATTGTTCGCCGGAATGCCGATCGCCGTACTTCTGGCGCAATGAGATTGAGCAGAATAACTGCCAACAGCAGCAACGACGAGATCCACATCCCCCAATCCACGGAAGTGTCGCTAATGATGAGTGCTCCAATGAGAAATCCAATGCTGATCGAGCCAACAGTGCACCATGACCAGATAGCTAGCCAGATTCCCATGCCACCTCCATGCCGGCGTACATCGTACGGATCAGGTATCTCATGTGAGTCACTGCTCTTTAGCGATGCGCCGAAGATATCCAACAATGTGGCCAGGTTGTTGATGTCAGCGAAACCAAGAACAAAACCTGACAATCCACGAGAAAGCAGGAGAATAATACGATATCTCTTTAAATCAGGGGATCTGAATGATGTGATCATGAGCCCCTGAGGTATCTGCAGACATAATGTCAAGGTGAGTGCTGCAAGGGTGTAAGGTTTCCGTCCGTGCAACAAGGGAAGGGGCCAGAATACCAAGGACGCAACGGCAAGTCCAAGATAGAGGAAGAGGTTCCCAAGAATGACATGACGATTGAAATCGACAACGACATACTGAATTGCCGGGACTTCTCCTGCATATATGCCGAGAAGTAAACCTAGACAGGCGACATTGATGCAGCTCACCACTGCTGCGAATCGTTTTCGAGACGGTGGCCAATTTCGAGCCACAGGTGCATGGTGACAAGTGGTGCGAACATCCAAATGTTCTGCTCGCTCTGGCAGGTCGATATGCTGTACACCATTGAGGTCAACCGTGTACGACGGATATGGCGATGGATGTTCCATATTGATGCTCACATGCCGGGATGGAATGCCAAACATCTCACTGAAATGCCTTTCGTGACCCAGTCGAGGGGCACCTAACAATGGTTCCTGGTCTTCATCGAACTGGACAACCTGCTGCTCGGTGTTCAGCGTCAAGGTTGGCGCTGGCCTCGAGGCCGAAGATCTCCTTTCTGCGATACCTCTGGAAGATGTGGTACGAGGGCCAATTTGCGGAGGGGATAGGAATCGAGCTGGTCCGTTCCTGGGCTCTGCAGCCAATGCTCTTGATCTTCTGTCCCTCGACAATTTCTTCTTCGTCTCCTCCAAAGACTCTGCGACAGGTTCCGGCAGGGGAATTTGTGGGTCATCGGTACTACGCGTCTTTCGGCGGCGAGGAGCAGAATCTCCCATTTTTCTCTCGTAACTGCTTGCACGCATTTCCGCAACAGATGTTCGCGACTTTAGAGAATGCCCGCCTTTTGGTAAGGATGCGATGTTGCATGTTCTTGAGGAGACTTCTTCCAGATATTTGCTGATCTTCTTTGCGAGACCTAGCGGCGGCCGATTCGGTGGGCTGGGCAGATTTCCGTTGTGTTGTTCGGGTACAAGACTGTCGTCTTGAACAGACCCGGCATTTTCGGCGAGTTTCACGGCTTCTTCAACCAGTTGCTCTAGTTCTCGAATGGTTTGAGCCATGGATGCCGACAACTTTTTACCTGAATCATCGTCGCTAGTGTCGTCATTGCTCTCGTTGCGTAACCTCTTTCGAAGGTCGCCATGTTGTACAGGGTGACTTGCAGAATACTTGGTCGTTCGGCCTCGCTCTGCTTCCATTCGCCGAGACCTATAGGTTTCGGATCCGATCGGAGGGTTCAAGAGAAGTTCGACGTCGTACAATTTACGAGGTGGGATGATTAATGTAAGGACTGCCTGAGATAACTGATAGGGAGGATACAAGCTACCAAGGAAATTTCGGTGGAATTGGTGGATAATAGCATATCTTAGCCGAGGAGTGCGTTATTAAGGACACTGCAAGGCTATCGATTGCGCAAGACGCAGCATTAATTCCCACAATCGTCGCTGCGATCTGGCAGGGTCGATCACGAACACGCAGTTCATGGGTGCGCAGCCAAGCAGCTAACAATTAGTGTGAGGAAGCTAAGCTTCCACTGGGCGAAGCTTGGTTTGGGCTTGGCTTCGGTAAGACAGCAAAGACTGGAGGGCGTGGCGGGGTACCTGGAAGATTCGGAGCGAGCCGACGATTGATCCGTCAGGATTACATCTACTACTCTACTAGGTATGTTGATGATGGTTCTGCAGATGGAAAAATCTATAAGTGATGGGTATTGTCTGGTCCGTATTCCGTAGGTACAGAGAGTTCATAAGGCATATAGGAAAGGAAATTGTCAGATGCACGAAGTGGCTCGTCCCCGAGATTCGTCCTTGTACCCCTCCTGTGCCTGGCCCCTCCATCGCTGGCTCTCTGCCACGGTTTGAGGAATCCAATGCGCCTGTCAGCGTCTTTTTCTGTGCCCACGCCACACGATCGTGTCATGTCCCCCCTTCATTAGCACTGACGGCACAGTCATCTCTTGTTTTCGTCTCACTCTTGACTGTCACCTTCTTTTCCTCTCATCACCCTCGACACCTTCCTCTCCTCCCTCTTTCCCTCTTCCTGACCTGCGTTTTGCCTTGAGAACGTAGCTAACTAACTACAAACCTCTACCGATCACTATTCCAACCCAACGCACTCCACTGAGCAATGTCTTACTACAACGATCGACCCGACGGCTCCTACGGCCGGGACTCGTACAACCAACCTTCCTCTTACGGGGGTCCACCTCAAGTGCCTCATCCATGGGTTGCCGAATGGGACGACCGTGACGGCCGCTGGTTCTTCGTCAACCGCGAGACCGGAGAGCGGACTTTCCAACACCCACAGCAATCCTATGGAGGAGGCGGCTACGACGAGCGCGGCTACGGATCTGGTTACGGAGGACAGGAGCAGGAGCCGGAGAAGAAATCTCACACTGGTCGAAATGTGGCGTTGGGCGCAGCTGCGGGACTTCTCGGTGGTGCTCTCTTGATGCACGAAGGAGAGAAAGTTGGTAAGTGTCACAATCGGGCTGTTGCCCGCTCGTCTACCACTGTCTGACGTGTCACAGAGGAGAAGTGGGACGACGCCAAGTATGATGTCGAGAATGACGTGCGTGATGGGGTGCAAGATGTCGAGGAATTTCCAGAGAATGCCGCCCGCTGGACGGGGGAAAAGGTTCAGGAAGTCGAGGATATCCCTCAAGATATTGAACGCAAGTGGGACAATGCGGTGCAGGATGTTGAGGATGTGCCCGATGATGTTGCCGGCTGGGCCGGTCGAAAGGTCGGGGATGTCGAGAGTAAGTTGGGAGTCGGATCTTTGTTTCTGGGATACTGCCGAGGTTCCATCCTCAGTACAGCCATGCGTTGCTAACGATAAGGCAGGATTTGGTGACAACGTGGACAACGCCTACGACCAGGGCCGTGATGATGCCCGATACGACGACAACAATTACTAGGGTGCGTCGAGATCCTTGATGCTCCATTCTATGGGGTTCTCGGCGGCTTAGACAGCGTTCACGAAGTGGAGACAGCGTTGCAGTGGTTTATGTTTATGCTCTTCTCCGGGCATCATGGTAGTCCTGCTGAGCGATGGACTTCTCGTGGCATCATGTGGACAACTAATTGATCGCCGTGCCCAGACAATGCGATATCCACTGCCTTTTGCTGTTAGTCGGGCACTCCAGACCAAATGAGCTCGTCACTTGAACAACCTTGAGTCTAGCGATCGATCCTCTTTCCAGCATTGGCGCATGTCCCTTTATGGGTGGTTTCCCCATTTTCTCTTTTGTCCCGGGGCCTTTGTGTGTTTCACCCGGGGGTGAGGAACAAGAGCGTCCCATTGTTACACCATCTCATGCGACGGTGTGGGAGGAGTGCCTTATAAGTCTGCATGCTGTCCTCAAGACGACTCGGTTTCAGCTGTCAAAACCTTCGTCCTTCATCACCCATTCTGAGCCTTGTATCTGCCTAGGCAGTAGAACAAGGCACTGACTGCACTACACTGCCTGTGACAAGTCTCCTTGTGACGCATCACCATGAAATTCACTCTTGTTCTTTGTTCATGTCACTGTTTCTCGGAAAGACAAAGCAACTAGGAACTAACTTGCTCTATCACCACTTTGGAGGCAAGGCTGTGTTGGGCCTGTCTTGCCAAAGGCCGCTGCCGTGTGAAGATGCCCTCACGCGCTGCCCTAGCTTGTGATGCCTCAGAGCGAGAGGGAGCCATTACTTACTCTCTCCTTCCCTCTCGCTTTGTCCTTGGTTTATCGTCTTTCAGAAATACCACCATTCAGAGAGAGAACGAGTCTCACGCAACACTGAAGACAGGAAAGAACAACACCCACCCGTGGTCCTTATCCAAGTCGTGTGAGAAGAGAGAAACAACTTCACTCCCCCTTCGATCTGCTCCTTTATCCTGTCCTGCCCCAAAAGCAAAGGAAGACATGGCTGACCCAAACCAGAACCCTTCACCAGATGACAGCATACTCCCGTCCCTGCGCCGGTTCGCGTCAGCCGATGACCTTGCTGACTTTTTGCACGGGCAGGATCCAGGCGACACCTCTCTCCCAGCAGGTGAGTCAGGCGATGGTGTCGGGGAGGGTGTGATACCTCCTGCGACTGCTTCTCTTGAGGAACAACTCGTTCGCTACTTGGCAGAACAGCAAGACCTTGAAGGTGAGGACACTACTGCCAGTGCCAGTGACGGTGACGGTGACGGCGATTCCGAGTACGAGTGGTTCTCGTACCAAGTCTACTTTGCCGAGGAGGACCGCTTACTTCGTGCCGGTGGTGCTGGTGCTGGTGCCGATGCGGGTGGCACTACCAACGTCCCAGCTGGCGGTGCTCTGAACTCTCATCCCCCAATGTTTTTCGGAAGGGCTGCCAACCCTGACGATGACGATGGCAATGACGGTGATGATGATGATGACGACGACGACGACAGTGATAACCCCTACGCCGACGCGAACCAAGTCGTTTCTAACCTCAGTGACGAATCAAAGGACGACAACGACGAAGAAGAAGATATTAATGACGAAAACAACCCCCAAATAACCCCCTGGCACCCACGCCTGGTCGTTGCGCCCAGCAACCCATTCCGCCAACGCCGCCCCCGCCACCGCAGACCACCCGCCCACGTCCACGACGGCGGCCGCGCCATGCTGTTCTTTGCCCTGTACAATTTGCGCCATGCGCGGGACCGATCAGCCAGGGAGGCTGTGCAGCGGGCTGTCGCGCTTAAGAGGGAGCGGGAGCGTCAAGCGGAGCGCGAGCAAGCCGAAAGACTCGAGCGGGAGGTTCAATTGGAGAACCGCGTCTTGGGGATCGGCGGAGCCGGGAGCATCTGGGGTGGAATGCGGCTTCGGCGGGACGAGAGGGATGGGAGGCCTGTTGTCGATGATGTTGGCAGCCATGGCATTGGCATTGGCATTGGGGGTTTTCGGGGTGATGGTGTTGTTGTTGACCGCGGTAATGGTGGTGGTGGTGGTGGTGGTGGTGGTGTTGATGACAATGCCGCCGTCCCCGCCGTCGTCATGAAGGATACTTTTGATTATCGCAAGTTGGCGACGGCCGGGGCGAGGCGGGAGAGGCAGTTGATCGAGGCCGGCGAGGAGGGCCAGCGTGGGTTTGAGTGGTAAGTACCTCGTACTTCACTTGGTGAGATGTGATTCAATCGGAATTGGAAACAGAACGGATGTTGAGGAAGAGGAAACATGCACACAGAGAGACGGAGAGAGATGGAGAGGATGTAGTGTCTACTGTGTGTGTTTGTGTATGTGTATGACAGCGAGAGTCTCTCGGGATGACAACCAAAGGTACTGTAAAATAACTTGACTCTTTAGTGAATGAGTTGGTATTGAAACAACAAAGAGCCCCGTCTCCATCTACTATGTTACCTCTTGTCACCTTACTTTCCATCTGAATAACTAATAATGTGTAGATTTATACTTCCGTATTCGTACCCGTACCCGAATTCGTGCCATACCCTTTTCCGCATGGGCGGTTGTACATGGGGCTTAACCAATATTCAGGCAGTGAAATGGGATGACTATGCATTATGGCAATCTGTTCTGGACTTTTTATCCGCGCCTCCGCGAAATTCGCTGGGGCGGGCGGATTATGTACTCGTTAGAACAATGCAGTCGCGACTATGTATTTGGAGGATCTAGACCTAGACCTAGATCCAGGTGGCACGACTAATACCACTTCTTTCTGTACGTGCGTGCGTGACATGTGTTACCTTTGGTGATGGGCGGTGGCAGGATAGAAGACAAGAGGTGAGGAGCACACATGGATCATGCTCATAGCTCTGCCAGTTTCAACCACCAACTTGCTTCTAGTCCATCGCACCCCAACAACCTCGCACGCTGCTTGTACTCGTGCTTGTCCTTTGTACCAGGCTAGCAGGCTAGACAGGCTAGACAGTGTCGTTGTTGACCTTGCCAATCCCCTCTTCGTGGACAGCGACGGCCCCGACGTTTCCCCGCGCCTGGGCCTTTTCGTCGACGACTTGTTCGATCTTGAGGTGTTCACCGGCTTCGTCGAGCGTCTCGGCAACCTAGATTTTAGAGAAAAAGTGCGTTAGCATGGGTTGTCTGTACATTCAACTGGATCCGACCTTTTCGCAAAAGAAACACAAAAGACAAGATTGAGGGGAAAGAATAGTATAGTAGCGCATGAGGAGATCCTATGCTTACCTTGTCGCCAAAAATGGCCTCAATCTCTTCCAGCGTCTTGTGCCTAGTCTCCGGGTAGAACAGGACAAAAACAATCGAGAAGATGAAGCTCGAACACACAAAGATGAGGAAAAACTTCCACGAGATGGTCTCGATGGCCTCCGGGGTGAATTGCACCAGGATGATGATCAGGACGTGCTGCGTCATGTAGCTGACGGCCACGCCCACGGGGCGCACAGACGTAGGCATGATTTCGGCGGGATACTGCAATTTCATCCCCAGACATTGTCAGTACAGGTCCTAAAAACTAATGCATTCTTGGGTGGAATCAAGAAATAACAAGGCTTGGGGGGGTACGAACAGTTGCCAAAAAGGCGTTGGCAGGCCCAGCGTATCCGAGCCCGACGAAAAACATGGCCACAATGATGCCCTTGGCGAGACCGCGGTTGGTGCTTCCGCCGTTTTCGTAGATGGCCCAGGTGATGCAAGTCGTGAGGGTGCCGGCGATGATGAGAATGTACGATGTGATCTGTCCTTTGGATTAGTGGCTGACAAGTTTCAATTCCCCAAGCAAGGAAAACTGACCATGGTTGGTCGTCGTCCCATCCAGTCAAAGCAGAAAGCGGCGTATATCGCAGAGAGGGTGCCAACGGTGCCCCATACACCGGTCAGGATGAGCGACATGACGTTGCTGAATCCAACATTCGTGTAAAGAATAACCTGGTAGTTTTGGATGACGATGACACCGGAAAGCCTGTAGCGGGACAATGTATCAGTACCGCCATGTCTCCATCCGGATCGGGGTCATAAACTTACATGCACGCAATGGCGTACCAGAACACCAACAAGAATCGCTTGCGGTACGAGGGCTTTTGCCAGATCGCCTTGAGTCCCAGTCGCTCTTCCCTGTCAAGCTCGATCTGGGCCTTGATCTGGTGGAACTCGCGCATGTAAAAGGTGTCGTCGTGCGTGGTGCCGTGCATCTTCTTGAGAACCGTCAAGGCCTCGTCGTGGCGGCCCACGTAGACGAGGAAACGGGGAGACTCGGGCATCAAGAAGGAGCAGGCGAACATGAGGGTGCCGGGGATCAGCTGGCAGCCCAGTAGGAGGCGCCAAGAGACGTCGCCCTTGATAAAGTAGAATCCTAGGCCACTGATGGGAAACTCAGCATTCATTCTTCCCAGGTGGCAGAAGAGATAGACTTACACCCATTCCGTAAAACAATAAGCTCCGTTGACACTGACTCTGCGAAATTGTCAGCTCCATAACCTAGCAAGATTGACAGATTCCTCACGCATAAAGCCCGCCAATCCGGCCTCGCATCAGAGGAGGTGCAATTTCGGAACTGTAGGCAGGGCAGACGACGAAGATCAAGCCCGAGGCCATTCCGCCAATGACTCGTCCAGCCACGAAGGTGCCATAGTTGTGGGCACCTGTCTGCAAGGCCGCAGCGAGTATAGAGGCCAGACAGCCGATCTGGATGGTCCGAATGCGGCCGTATTTGTTGGGTAGATACCAATTCGAAGCCATGCCGACAACGGCGCCAGCGTAGTATGCCGATCCCATGGCGCCAATGGTGGTAGAATTCAAGTTGAAATATTCGAGGAAGGAGGTATAACCAAGGACCGATGTCGTGCAGGCTATGTCAGGTGTCAATTTGCCGCCGTCTCTACAGCGTTGAGATATGCAGTGACTCACCAGAATCATAGCCATAAAATACGGCCCCGAAGGTCACGTACAGCACGCAAAGCCAATTGTATCGATTCATGCTGGCCATGTTTGCAACAGCACTCAAGGGCCGACTTCTCAATCAGATTGGACAAGGGAAGAGAGCTTACGGTAGTTGAGCTCTGGAGAAGCCCAAGGATGGGGCGTGATTTATGTATATAGAAAATACGAGCCAGGGTAATCATCGGGCTCAGTGCCGATCGCTATTGTCTGCCATGCGACAGTCAATCCTGAGTAGGATTTTCCTGACTACGAAGGCTTCACCAGGGATCAGGAAAGGTTAGCAAACAAGACCTGGGCTTGTTGGCGGGCAAAAGCCAGGGTTTGTGGAGTCCCCACAGAGTATCTCAGTCTTGCCTCGATCAGGACATCCTCGGAAGCATTGTCCAGTCACACGTGGGGAGTTTGTGGGCTTCTCCGCCTGTAATTCTAGGACCAGCAGAGCGGATCTGGTGAGAGTCGGCCGAATGTGGGATCTGGAGTAGCGGGAGAGCTCTAGAATAGCCCAAGATTATGCTGCCGTGTGGCGTCTGGTAACCGCATAGCTCTTAGTGTTCAAGGGGACGGGCCAGGGCAGCAGAAATTGCACAACGTTCTTGCAGGCGTGTCGGTTTTGATGATTCTCGTTAGTTCTCTGTGCACCTGCTGGCGCAACCTGCACTGTATCAGCAGAAAACACCCAAAAGAGTCCACGTTCCTAGACCCCGGGATGCTCCTCAGGTACCAGGATCTGCAACTGCATTTCTTGCACTAGATACCCTCTGGCAAGCCGGGTAGCGCCCTTGGCGCCCTTGCACTCTTACCTCGTCTAGTTCGGGGGAAGCGCATTTGTTTGACAGCCAAATGATTGGCCCCCTGGTGTGAAGGCGGCGGTGTGTTCTCCACACCTGTAGCTTTTCAAGTCCCGTTATATATCTTATAAGTCAGGATTTGATGACATGGACCGAGTCATAGAAACGAGTCTCATAATTTTCTGGACCAACAGGTGTTTCATCTGCTCCCGGAACAGGCATAACATGACGACTCGTTGGTGGTCCATTGCTTGTAAAACTTTCACATTGAGCCTTTTCCCCGTGGGATGTTCCCCGGCTTCTTCGCTGCCCCATTGTATCACTCATACCTATTTCTCGGTGGCGAATCGTCAATCCCGTGGGGTTGTTGCGGGGTTTGCTCACAGTGTCTCTCGTTCTAGCTCTATGGGGAACTTGGCATGTTTTCTCTGGGGTGTCATTTCTAACGAGCATCACCACGAGCATAACAGGAATGTCGAGCAGAGCAAGAATTCCTGAAGTCACGTAAGGGATCTCGTTGACGAATGATGGGAGGTGAGATGAGAGGAAAATTACTAGGTAGCTCTCATATACGCTGGCTTGGCACGCCATTCTCGATGAGGCTGTTTATAAACCGATAAACCCTGTTCGCTCACAGCTTCGACTGCCCGTGAGGCCTGATCACGAATCCAACACGGGGAAAGTGGATTCTCACCTCCCCCACAGCTGGACCAGTACCCTCGCTTGTCTTTTGAGGCGTGATGACCACTTCTTCCGGCGTGAGGGCCACTATTGTCCCAATGGTCGGACTATCCCTTCCAGTATCGTCAGGAGCAATCGTCACTTCCGCACCGACTGCGAGACCATTGCGTCCGTCAAGGTCGCGATGCGGAGGAGCTGGGGTCGCCAATAGAGGGACTGGGTCCAACAGCGGCGTCTGTTTCAGTTGCTGCAGCATTTGTTCCACACCCTGTGTGTTCTCCTTCTCGAGCTTTGATTCCACACTCGGCAGCCCTTTAACGTATGTTTTGAAGCGCTCGAACCAAGAAAATAACCCGGGATACCGGTCTTTGTTGAACACGGCTCCCATGCCCTCCCCGTCCCCATCACTCGTCCCTCCACCTGTCAGGTTATCGATCCCTTCTCCACGGCTGATCTTCTCGCCCCAGTCGAGCTGGTACCACAGTGCCAGGTCCGCGACACTTGGCAGGTCGGTTCCGAAGAGCCACGACTTGGTCTGATCGCCCGAGAGCAGCGGTTCCAACAAGCTCAACTGCAGATCTAAGCCGCTGAGATTTTCGGGAACTTTCCTCGCCAGTTTCTCCGCGTCGAGTTTGTGCCCGATCAGATTCGAGCGGTCGGTTCCAAAGTGCGTACGCCATACACTCGCTGGGATAAGCCCCGTGGTTACGCGGAAAAAGGGGCGGTCGGTCCAGTATGAGGCAAAGCCGCGGAGCAGTGGGCGAAAGGAGGCTGCAGAAGATGGGTAAAGGGTGCCGTAGCCGTTTGCGGGGGGGAACTGACTCTCGAGAACTTCGAGGATCAAGGAGGTGTCGATATAGATCTGTCACATCAAGGTTTGCATTCAGCTTGAACGTGGAATTGTGGCAACACAGGAGTATAGTGCCGAAGAGGTCGGACTGAGCCAAGAGGCAGACTTGCTTACCTCGCGCCCAATGGCCAGAACCGGGATCTTCCTGTAGGTCACATTGAAATTATCCTTCAAGATTGGCCGTGGCATCATCGAGGGCACAACAACGAAAGCTGTCCAAGCAAACACCATAGCGTCAGCCCAGGACAAAGATTACGGAACAATCTCGGCAGGTAAAGCCTTCTCTGTGGGTTACGGCTCTGGTATATTCAACATACTGTATGGTATCTGTTTCAACTTGAGGGCCAGCTTCACCTTTGTGGTGAACGGCGACGCTGGATTGACAGTACGTTAGCTTGACATTTCTTTACTCTAGAGGTAGGAACGGGCTGTATCTCACAGTCATAGCCGAAGAGGACCACAGGGGCCTGGGGTGTTGAGCCATCTCCGGTTCCCATGATTGTAGCTCTCAGACAGTTCTAGTCAACTAGGAAATTGGTGACCAGAAAGATGGCAAAAGGATGAGAAAGTTCAAACTCGACTCTTCTATTCTGCAACGATTCCGGTTAATCATCAAAGGGCGTGCTGGTACCTGACATGAGTAAACACCTCTTTGCGTACATGTACAAGGTACGCGTCCGCGAATCGTAGCAGGAAGAGCTGAAGTCAAAAGTCGGATGAATGGGTGGTTGTTGGTACTTGAGCCTCGGTTCGGTCAGAACTCGTCATTTGATTTGACGAGGCTGGCTCAGCCTTGTTCAGCCTCGTGCTCCTATACAAGTTGTATCTTGGTTGCATTATTCAACAGAGGCACTCGGTACAAAGCATAAGGCTTGACCCGCATGTCGATGCCACCTTGGCACGATTCCCCTCTCCAAAGCCGATTCTCCGTAAAGTACAAATAGTTCCCGGCCACAGAAAAGGTGTCCGTCCAGCCGATCCGCGGATCTCTCACATAGGTCTGGACTGTCCCATTTTGATGGTTAAAAGTAGGCACACTATACAAATGACGCTCCGCAACCACTCAAAAATACAAGACATCCTCGTAGTTGGAAAGAGTGATTCCGTCTGCACCAAATACAACCCCGGAAATAGGCATCCCGCTACCTGCATTCATATATACAGAGTCGCCCCAAACACTGGCGTAGAAGCCTGGCTCAGGACGGACCTGCGGAATGTTTTCCAGATAACGCCATGATTCGCCAGTCCCTAGATCCACCACGATGATTCCATTCCGCACTTTGCTAGAAGAATCCGTAATGTAGGCGATACCTTGGCCCGAGGTCGTAAGAGAAGAACGCAAGTCAAATCGAACGTCGTAAAGGTAGGAGTCGGGATAAGCCACCGTCGGCGGGAAAAGAATGCTCTGGAAAACGGTAGTTTTTGTCAAGCCAACGCCCACCAGTTTAGGACCACCAAGGTTAGAGGTGGTTAGTGTGCCGTTGCTGAGGAGGGCTCGGCCAGTGTCCAATATCCACAAACGATCTTTGGGGTCGACAACCACACTTTGGACAGACATCAGATAGTCCGAAAGACCTGTTGTGGTGGGCGGATTGGTTGAATAGTTGACTGCTCCTCCTGAGGGAGAATTTACCTGTGCACTGGGAAAAGGGATTTCGGTGTTGTTCGATCCAAGCTCGGCGACCTGGTATCTCGTATTGTAGTCAAGCCCCAAAGGATAGCAGGAAAACATGCGTCCAGAGGCAGAGACAGCTACCCCTAGAGGCAGATGTCGGTTGAAGTTACCTCAGTCGAAAAGAGGCAGGTCTCGTACCTGTCGGCCATTCGTCAAAATAGAGGCGCATCAACTCAAGTGGCGGACCCACGCTCACTGGATTGCGAGCAGGGATTTGAGCCGTAACAGCACCCAAGGACGCATAGAAGAGGACATTTGTGACGTTCAATTTCATTTCGATAGAGTTGTAACCTGGTGAAGAGATTGACCGTCAAAGGCAGCGAGCCAAGAGGCCAGGTGAACGTGGTCGAAACTGCCTGCAGCAAGCTATATAGCTGTCTCCGGATCTGCCAAAGCTTGTCATCTAGTGGACCTTTGTGCATGGGTGACGAAATCATAGCGGAAACTGTATCCGCGGTTTGATGACCATGGCAAATCCATATGGTACAATTGGTCGACATGAGATCGAGAAGATGGAGTCGAGAATGAGCAAATTCGTGCTTGGTGTATCCCTCGGCCGCAGCACTCAGCTCATGAGATATGGCGTGTTGCATTGAGTATCAGGTCAACTGATCGACGTCATCGTGACGACCGAGACTTCGGCAAGTGCGACGAGGCTGAAGGATAGCCCTACAGCATTTGTGCGAGTCTATGGTGCTGTGCGTCTGTTCAGAGTAGGCGAAGTCCACAACAGTCAATGGACACTGGTCGCACCGTTGCTTGTCTTTCCCACCAGAGCATTGATAATGCTTCCACAAATCGTTTGTCTGACGCGCTCCAGCTGTCCAACCCCAAGTCCAGCATGTCTTCGTGATTGATCTCGATATTGGCCTCCGCGGCGTGTTCGGCCAACAAAGGCTGGCTATCTTGCTGGCCCATCTGACCATTGGAGTTTGCATCGGTGTCATCATCATCATTGTCGTGGTACCTGCCCTCAGCCTCCGCACTGCCGTCTACCCTTGAAATGGCAGCTGTGACAGTTTGAAAGATGGTCGCGGTCAGGCGGTGGAAGTATGCAACCACCGCAACTTCACGGCTCTGCTCCTCCTCGTCTTCACCATATAGCAGCGTCGAGTCTCGTTCGATCTCATGTTCTTCTCCCTCGGCAAACCCTTCACGGCGGTCTCCAGCAGAAGCCCACCAAACGAAAGAGGTGTATGCCATTCGAGACCAAGATGGAGGTTCCACCACTAACTTGTTGGTCGAGTTTGAGGATGAAAGTGAAGAAACAGATGAGGCTTCATCATCAGTAACAGCCGTCTCACTGGGTTCTAGCCTCCGGAGACCACGCATGAGGTTTGCAAACCGACGAAAGTCTCGTTGGGTAGCTTTGATGGAAACTTTGGGGAAAGCCTTGGTCAATTCTGGGCTTGAAACAATAATTCGCGGAAACACTTTTCCTGAGGCAGCCTGTAAGCCCGCTTTAGGCATGAGTACAAGGACATCATAGAGGTCGGGTTTTGAGGTGAGCACATCATCCGTCGTGCAAGCGATAAAACCGTGGTTGCTTCCGGCGGCTCGAGCCTGCTCGAGCTGGGGAATATCCATTACACCAACAGTGAACAGCGCACGCAAGCGAGCAGTAGGGGGATCGGCTTCATGCGGCACTAGCGATTTTGAGACAGACGAAAGAATAGACAGGTTATATACTTCCATGCAGTCAGTGTCTGACAACTTGGCAGGGTAATTTCATGCTCACCAAGATTGCAACAGAACTCAACAGGGGCATCTGTGACAATCAAGATGCGTCTGCGAAGTAGGGCTGCTCGATAAAGTGGAAATATCAGGGGTCCAAACAGCTTGATAGAATCCACCAGTGTCAACGCAGGATGATGAGGCGTCAACGCATGATGTGGCTGGATAAAGGTTGTCGCCGCGGACATTGTCCTTGACTTCTGGTACCCATTGGGCCTGCGGGTTGGGTCCTCTTCTCCAGACTCAAGAGGCGTTTGCGGCGCTGCTTCCTCAGGCCGCAGCTTGTATTTCTCCCAATACTCTTCGAGAGCAGTAACACTCCCCGGGTTGTCGATTTGTGCACTACCCTTGTCAACAGATGCAGCCAAGAGCATTGTACCGCAATATCCTACCTTGAGAGCTCCACCAGAGACTCTGCATGGCGCCAGATCCGGCCCATGCGACCGTGTTCTAATGGTACCAGTGCACCAACCGCCAACATCCGGGCAGCACGGTCTGCCTGCTCATCTGCCTTGTTGATGAAGGCGCTAAGTCCAGCATAATCATCGTGGATAAAGTATCTTCCCAACCATTCAGTAATTTTGACCAGCTCTTGAGTATATCACTCACACCAGATCCTGTTCGACGTTGTGCAGACCGGACGGTAGGGACTTGAACTCGACAACACCCTCGACGGGGACTGTAGTGGCTGGTCAGTGTGGGCGCTAGAATTGAATTGAACGGGGATGTTTACCGTCGTCAACAGATCTATGCCATCCTAGGGTGTATCTGCAGGAGTGTTAGCATGCGCCAAAGACTAGAGAGGGCGCATAGCCATACCCTTTGCGATGGTCAAAGTTGACCAAGAAGAGGGCCAAGATGGGAGGAGTCGGAGGTTCATTCGACGTGTCAATCCTCAAGGAGTTCGAGGCATGGTCCGCCATTCATGAAGGCGCTCTTGCATAACGACAACAGAGATGCTCGTGCTTCTGAACATCGGTGGGTATATGGGGGTCGCAATTGAAGTGGTACGGGTAAATCGCCAATGCGAGTAGCGTGGCTCCAAAATCAAATGTCAAATGACGTGGGTTTGAGACAAATCAAATGACAGAGCCTTACACTCCACCACTCCAGACAGCACTCCGTCTACCATGTAAATTAGATTCGTCCAACACAGAACCCGATTTCAATGACGTGAGACGTTGAATGTTCCAGTACAACTAAGCGAAAGAGCATTATCGCCGCCACGGTGAGTAGAAGACCGGCCTAAAAAGCGAACTCCAGTGCGATGCTAGCGACTTGCTGCAAAAAACACTTCATGCCTTGCTGTATTACTCTACCAGAGGCACTACCATCCTCCATGATCAACGAAACCAAAGGCTGTGACTGAATGATTGTTTCTACACCATCCTGTGCTGTCCCCTTTTCGTCATATGTGTGGAATGAAATCCGTCCATTGTACGTTGAGGTATGCTGTCCCTGGCACGTTTCTCAACTCTGCAAACGCCTCTGCAATTAGATAGAATCGGGCGACCCCATATATGATCGCCAATGGCGTTATCGTTGCAAACTCCCAGGGCACCGGCAATTGCTCAGACTTTCTCTTCATTGTAGCCGATCGTCGAGCTAGATGAATCTTGTGTTCTGCCAACGCTTTTCGGTTGAAGACGAATAGATATATCGTCCTCCAACGGCCCAGGCGTGTCCAGGACGCTGCGGTCTCAAAGATCCAGAATGCAGCAGTAATACCGAAGAGGAGAAGCGAGCAGATATGCCAGAGCAGGCGCTCTATGCGGCTTGGAAATTCAAAGCTCCAGCCAGCTACGTGAATGGCAGTGAAAAGCAACGTAGCAAAGCATAGAAAGTATTCTTGTATACCATATGGGTTGGTCGGAAACCTGTCGTTGGGAATCCGTTGGATCGGCCTCTCTGGAGGAATGACTGGCATCTTCATAAAAGGTTGCACGTTGACGGAATACCCAGGGCCGTTTTCGTCAATAAAATCCAGCGGTGTCAAGCTCCAGTCGCGGTTGAGCGTGATCTCGGCAAGGGAGTGGGATGAGTGGATGTGGATGGGCGTCTGGACATCTGCTGGTTTGTGAAGCCAGAAACAAGATGTCATAAGCGAGCAGACAACAATCGCAAGTGCGTTGAGCTCCAAGGTTGTGATCGCCAGACCTTGAATAGCACGAGCGATGCATTGGATGATCAGATAGGAAATTTGAAATGCGGTAACAACTTTGGTAAATGTGTCCTGCTTAGACTTGTCCCAAATTTCTTTGCGGGTAATGGCGGGATATTCGACAAATTTATTGACAACAAGCCAGTGAAGCTGAGTTGCGTTGATTGGGAAAGGTTCGCCATCGCGGGCATGAAATACGAAGCCTCCCATATCGGCAAAGAACGCCTGCCGCATGTGCCAGTCCTTGTAATTGTACGCCTTGAAGGACACAACGGATTGTTTCGCTCGGCTCCATTGACCCGCAGCATATGTGAGAGGGAACTCAGGGCCCAGAATACCAAGGGCCATCCATAACAGGCGGCGGCGGAAACGAGTGGAGAAGCTGTCCTTGGGAGCAGGCACATTGAGACACAACATGCTATACGTGCTGATAAATATCGTCACAATCGATGTCCAGAGAATATCAAAGGTGCCCCGATAGTCGGGCTGGTTCACCCAGTGTCTGATTCTCGTCGATGACGAGAATGTGCTTTGCAAATTGGCGTCTGGAGCACAAGTAGAAGGATCTGGTCCTGTCGCGTTCGATTTGGTTTCTTGACTCTGGCATATAATGGGAAATAGTGATAGGCCCAAGAGAAGTTGAGTCTGCCATTTTCTCGCCCTCTGAGTCCCATGGTATCTCGCGGTGGGAACAATGCTGCGCATGAGTGGCTGTGGAGAGTCGGGGAAGATTCGCTCGATGCTGATACTCAGTACTTGTACCAGGATCCAATGCACGATGCTGCTTCACAGCTGTTGGGTGGTGGATGGGGAGACAATGGAAAAGACTTGGTGCTTGCGGTTCCATCTTAAAGACGAGGAGACTGGGTGAAGCGCCGTCCAGCGTCGATTGCTGCCGCTATCTTTGACCCAAAGCTGAGACAGGCCGTTCGTTTTTTAGAACGTGCATAGCTGCAGCATCGACCAGGATTGAAGTCCAGCCCCTGAGGAACACATTCAAGTTAGTCCATAAAAGTATCATGCTGCATCAAGTTCATGCTGACAGTCCACCCGCGATAACAGTCGTGGGTGGTGGATTCTACACAGAATCTTCAATGTCGAGTCAAGCACATCGTCAACACCCTGACGATTAGCGACGGTTCGGGACGTGCCATTCTTCGTTAGGAATTCGAGTCCCAGGCCACAACCTGCAGCGAAAGTCTAGACATGAGACGCTCCCCGGTCCATGGTGGAGATTGATGTTTCAGAAGCCGAATGCTATTCGTATAACTCTGTACATAGGTCTAGGCACCGTAGTTGCGGCGGTGTTGGGGCCTTTTTGCTAAGCGCCTGGCTGTGGTATCTGGAGTGGTGAAGGACGAATCGAAACACGAGATGAGGGATTCGCGCGTACTTATCAGCGGTCGAAACAAACCTCTTACAGGGAGTGATGGTGGACTGAACACTCCATATCTTGTCACTCCTCCCTGTCTGTTGTAGTGCGAGAAGTTTATGGCCGCCATCGCGCAGCACCAAGAAGTTTCCCTCCCAAGTTCCCGAGTTGTTGTTGCGCAGCTGCGATGATGACATTTTTCTCGGCGATCCTTCGACCTCTCCTCATCGGTGTCACAGCCAGCGTCGGCATCTATCTCGCCTTCCTGAGTCTCCTCACCGTCCCTTCGCTTCAGGATCATGTTATCTACCTGCACCGTGTGACGCTGACCTGGTTCCAAGATGTCAACGTACCCGAGCATTGGGGTTTTCTCCGGAACCAGGTCACCCCCTTCCTCCTTCGAACGCCAGACGGCGAAACACTACATGCGTGGCACGTCCTGCCTCTCGAGACATATCGAAAAAATGAAAAGGCGCTGAGAGAAGAGCCGACAGGGCTGTGCCACAATATCAAAGAGAGATTGGGATTCAAACTACTAAGAGATGATCCGACTGCTAGGGTGGTCATATATCTACATGGAGCAGCTGGAACACTGGGATCAGGCTGGCGACCACAGAGCTATCGTGCTCTCTCTGCCGCTGCGCCCAATGTCCACATCCTCGCCATTGACTACCGCGGGTTCGGCTCGAGCACTGGGTGGCCGTCAGAAGCTGGTCTTCTAACCGACGCACTTACATTGACAGATTTCGCGATGAAAACTGCTGGCATCCCGCCCGAGCGAATCGTCGTTTTCGGACAGTCGCTAGGCACGGCAGTTAGCATATCTCTCACCCACTATCTAGCCTTTCAATCACCTCCAACCCTTTTTGCGGGAATCGTGCTCGTAGCGCCATTTGCAAACGTCGAACTTTTGACCCAGACGTATAGCATTGCCGGCACTATCCCTCTTCTTGCGCCTGTCGCACGTTGGCCGCGAGCTCTGGCCTGGCTGAACAGTTTCATCGCTACCAAATGGCCGTCAAAGGATAAACTCGCTGAATTTATCCGTCTGTTAGAGACGACGAAGCTTTCAGAGCGGAAGACGAGCTACGACATTACCATCATCCACGCACAAGACGACTATGACGTCCCGTGGACTCACTCGGAGGTTGTGTTTTGGCATGCTATCAACGCAATCAGACCGCCCGGAACGAGCCTGAGTTTTGAGGAATTGGAGGCGGAAAAGGCCAGGCGGAAAGCTGAGCTTGGAGCTGGTGGATGGGAGGTCGAGTGGAGAGGCGAAGCTGGAGTGGTGCGAGAACAGATTGTGAAGCACGGCCTTCATGATCGGATCATGAGCTATCCAGTCGTGAGTCTCGCCGTTGCACGGGCATTCCACAGCCAGGATCTAGAATAGATGGCCACACACACATATGAATCATGCTCCTAGTTCTCACCAAACTCGAGGGTTGCTTCCGATGTGCTAGGCTCTTGACTGGCAGCGAACGAGATGGGATTCGCCACACCTTGAACCAGTGCGAGTATACGAGTATGCCATCGTGCGAACATGCTTCGTTGGAATCATTACTAAACACGACATCTTCGCCGTCCAACCATCCTCGGCGTTCGCCACTCCGCCACGCTATTCTATTTACTGATCTCTTTTTGTCCTCGACTAATCAGTCCACAGTAGATCATTCCATACCCGATCTGGTCGTTGCTCAGCTTCGTTTCCTCGTCATATGGTTCTGTACATACGTCCAAACAACTTTCCTGCTTCTCGCTTCCCACTAGATGGATAGATCAACCTGTCGTAAAAACCCCGCTGATTCAGCCAGTCTCTAGGTTTGCATCGCCCATGGTGGGCGCTGGGCTGTTGACAATATCTTACAAACCCGTTCTAGCATTGTCTGGGCACTACTGCATCTGGTCTAGTTCTATCCTGACTGTGACTGAGGCTTTCGATTCTTGTGCTTCGGGGTGAATATTGAGAGAGAATGTCATCAAACTCTGCGCTAACTTTGTGGACGACGACGGACGCTGTCATGCTCGTTGTCAAGAATTTGTCTTTGTCTTCGGGATGGGGTCGTTGGGCTTTGTCAGCCTACCATTTGGCTGAAGGAGAAGGGAGATGGCTCAGGCCATACAATCAGTCATGCAGCGGGATGTTGGAGGGAGAGAGATTGATCAGGCAGTATGCTGAACATGTGGAGGTATGTATATAAAAGGAGAGCCTAGCCAAAGCAAACCAGTCAGCACAGGCAGGGAGAGATAGTGTACATTCCAGAAAAGCCAGCAAGTTATATCCTCTCAAGACGCCATCACCACCAAACAATCAACATGGCCCAGACATTCGTCATGCGAGGAGTTGAAGGCAAGGTGAAAAAGACACCAGCGGAAATTCCCGAGCT